GTATTGATTACCTAATACTAAAATTAGGTATTATTAATTTAGGTATATATGTATACAAAAAAGTCAGACCAAGTTTCTTGTTATAGCTGACTTATAAGATATAAATATTTGTTAAGGTGTAAGCTTATCTGGATGTTTTAATAAGTAATTTCGTTCATATTCTATTACATTAATTGTAAATAAAAATTATTAATATTATAAAAAAAAAAAGTACTGTAATAACTACTTATAAGGTATTGTATAAATATTTGTATGTGAATTTCTATTTTATTGTACCGTAAAAAGAGAAAACAAAATTTATATACGTTGTAAGTAAATACAACCACACAAAAACATAGTAAATAATATTTTTATAAACTACTAAAAAAATCCAATGATTTTTTGTATTATTTTATGAAGATAACAAATATTTAAATACCATTTACTCTCAAAACATAATATTCGCACACACACTTACTAAATGTCAATATCGTGTTCACACATTGCCTTGTCCTAAAAACAAACAAACAATTCGATTGCTCGGGATGTGTTCACTCATTGTATAAACACACGCAAAATACAATCTCGTCCGGTAAGACGGGGAAAAATAATCGAACGAGTGTTATGTAATATGTATTCTTTACAATACACATACACACACATAAGGTTGAGGTAAAAAAAATACATTCATAAAATATAATTTCATAGATTCAAGTCCACAAAGCACATGGTAATTCATAAATTTGTGTAGAAACAAACAACTTTCGATAATGTGCAATATCCATTTAATAGTGAAGTGAAGATACGTATACCAAATGTTCATAAAGAATAAAATGATATTAATAAGTATTGGCTAAAATTCAATAACTGATAAATTGGTAGGTAGATCGATTTTTTTTTTTAATTTTCTAGATCGATATGTCTCCTCAGCCTGCCCTTGAATATGTGAATATGTACTAGTATATACTATAGTCATTTTACTTTTTACAAGTATATTATAAATATATATGTTACAAATACATTGTAATAAATACTTAAGTTTTGTACTTGAAATGTAAGTAATAACTACCATGAATAAAATATTAATTTTAAATATAGTAAGGTACATTTATGATTTAATTCAAATATTATTTCTAATATTTTATTAATTTATAACTATAAATAAAATTATCAATCACATACACATGCTCATTTTTCATTTTTTCTTCAAATCGTCCCTCTGTTTCACATTGGAATGTTCATGTTTACAAATTATAAGCATTTATTGATAAATAAATGTGTTGTGGAGATGAGGGACAATTAAACTACTTTTTTTTCCGGTAACCGTCACAGTATAAGTCACAAATCAGTTGACAATGACTTACGAAAATAATGTTTTCGTTTTATCATTGTTTTCATACTTCGTGTCTAGCAGTTAAGAGGCTAATTTTGACAATCTTATACACCGGTTCGAAGTCTTTTTCCGCAAACGCTTAGTTCGTACAATACTGGTGTTGCTGGTATATTATGTTAGTGATCGACGATCGTCAGCCGCCACAAAGTATTCGATAATAGCAGTGCTCTCTATTTTGGAGTTAGGTCCGTGGCGAGTTGGCCATTGGCGGCCGTGAGCCACCGCCAGAGCGCGGTTTTTAAGTATAAAACGGCCTGTGCTCTACTTAATTGTCATTACTAGGAACGATTTGCTATGCATAAATACAATCGAACAGATGTCTGATCAATACAAGGACGCCCGCGAGATAGTCTATGTCAAACCAGCCGTACGGCAGATCTGCTCCGACAGTATATATCGATTTGAAAATCAAAAAATATGTAGCGTTAAAAGTGTACACATTGTGGTGTGTACACCACTCACCAACATCATTGCCACCATTGTGTGCTCGGTTAATACCCGGGCGACATAGGTGTAGTTTGGACGGTTTACGACTTATTGCATCCATAGTATCCATATCCCTCCCCCTCCACACACACAGCCTTTACAAAAATGTTTGATCCCATTTAGGGGCATATTTTTTTCTCTTTATTTCCTAGCTATTTCTAGTGGCCAAAATTACTGCTGAAGTACTACTGAATAGTAGTAATGGATTATAATCGATGTTAGTGCGTCGTTCGAAACGCACAATTCGTCTTTAAATCGTTCTGTATTAGAAGCAATAGTACGATTTATTCGTTAATATTCATTGTTAGAGAAAGTGTGTGTGTGTGTAAAAAACAAACAGCCTGTTATTGGGGGAAACACTTATTATGAAACACACCGCAGTAGTTCAACACACATCACATAAAAAGAATCATTTTGTAAATATTCAAACAGTAATTGTAAATTTATTGCATTAATAACGAGTTATTCTGGATGTTAATTTTAATTTCCCATTCAATCGAGTGCTTACTTATTTTAAAATACTAGTTTTTTTTTTCAATTAGAAAACGTGTGCAAAACGTTATTAGTATATTTATAATTGGTTAATTATAAAAAACATAATCCCTTCGGCCGTGTACTTGTTTGTCCGTGTATGTGTTTTAGTTTTCACAAAATAACTACGCAGCCCGCGCAGGATATAGGTACGTGAAGTCCTACTCTCACTTTATCCAATCGACTTAGAGTTACAACCAAATAATTGCAAATCCATTTTTTATGATTTTACAATTTTTCTGATTAACTATACATGTGTTGACTTTAAATAATTCAATTAAAACTGTTATATTATAAATTATATAATATTTAATTAATACAAATTTATATAATAAAAATTATAAATTATTGTATTTTAATGATTTCAAATAGAGAGACAAAACCGGAAACGATTATGTGTCACTAAATCAATTACTCAACTGCTTTTATTACCTCTTTGATCTTCGTAGCGACTTCTCTGTTGATGTTGAAGTTGATGTATCAAGTATAAAATGAGGTGACTGATTTGTATATTCAAATAATAAGATCTTTTCCTCTGATTTACAGTTATTAACTTTTATTTAATTTCTTAGACACATGTTTACATTTATATTTTAAGTTAATTTATTTTACAATAGTATCCTTTTGTATAGAAGATCTGCGTAGTCTTTTACACTTACTTTTAAGCATCTATGCGAAAGGATGACAACATTGACAACATTGACAACAACACGTCGTGTACTCGTGGCCGAAACTGTTCCGGCGACAGGCGATGACCAGCCTCCTTATATGTAATTGTTTATGTGTGTGTGTGCATGACACTGTGTGTGCAATATGTTTGACATTTTGATAATTTGATGTGATGTAACTATTTAATTTATTGAGTCAATTTTTAAGGATTATTTAAACTTATATGCTTGATGGCTATCGATTATTATAATTATTTTATTATACATTTTAAATCTAAAAGATATATGATGGCTAAGATGGCTTAATCACATATCATTACAGTATTAATTGAATACAATAGTAACAAAAAGTAAAAATATACAATATAATGCAAAAGTTTAAGTTAATTATTACTATTACATTATAATACATGGTTAATATACTTTTATATAATATAAATAAATGTTTATTTAAATCTTTTTTTTATACGCATTTGTGTGGTAGATAATAATACATTAATAATAATATAATAATACATGCTAGATAGTTGTCAATCCAAAGTTAATTTAAACCGTTGGAACACATTATGACAGTGAAATATACTTAATTACTATGGGTGTACACTGTATAGGTACTATAGTGCAGGGACGGTCAAACTTTTTTCGACCGCGATCTACTAAAAATATACTTCACCTTTGAGGATCGACTTCGATAAAAAAGTTTTTATTATTATTAAGTTACTATAGTACCACTATAATTAATTTTCGTGTGCGTAGCCTAAAAATAAATTCTAGCCCGATCGACTTTAAAATCGTTTGCGATTGACCGGTCGATCGCGATCGACTATTTGGCCGCCCCTGCTATAGTGTATGCGAAGCATTTTACACAACACACACTAACTTGCACGCTTATTAAGCATACACAAACATCGGTATGATTAATTGCATACTGATAATATTATTAATATGATAAAAATTAAATAATTTAACAACAATAAACAAAATTAATTATTTTGGCGGATAATTGCGTTAAATTAATTTAATTTAATTATAGTTATTTTTATACCTATCATAATTATTAATATTTTATTTTTATTTTAAAAAGAGATGCTTTTTTACTTAATTAGAGTATTAATAATTTTAGGTCATATTAAATTATGTATAGGGGTCTAATTACTTTTGTTCTTATAGGTGTTTTTCAGCCTAAGGCAATGACTTGAAATCATTCCATAAATTATTTTATTTTTTTAATTTCAATTTTCTACTTAATTAAGTTATATATATATATATTATATTTATACTTATAATAGCATTAATTATAATATTGGCTTTAATTTGTTTTTTTCAAGTTTCAATTAACATTGTATTTAATGTGAAAATTAATTAAAATTTTTTTTTATTATTGTAAAAATACCTATATGTATAATATTTATATTTCATATTTAATTATATAAAGCTTAAATAGAAAATCCAATACGACTCAACGAATTTAATAAGTATTATTAAAATATTAGATAGTATTAGAAATTAACATATTTAAATGTACATTTTTAAAATTAATTCTATGAAATAAAAATGGATGAGAAAAAAAATAATATATTATGATAGGTTAAATTAGAATGAGACCATGATGCTCACTCCATGAATTAATTGATCTAGATAATTTTGAAGTAGGTAAACATTATGAAGAAACTTAATAAATATGAATAGTTTAATATTATCAGTAAAAAATGTGCAATTATTGTTTAAAACACTGCCCACGTTATTAACCAAAATCGACATTATTTTAAATAGAAAGAATTTTGTATTAAAATATGGACCTTCATCGTCACTTTAAAAGACTGTGCATCTCAAAATAGTATCAATTAAAATAATAATAAAAAGTATAAAAGATATTAAGAACTTTTAGTTGAAAAGGTAGGAATTTAAAGAGACGATGAAAGATCTAACTGAATTACTAATTTTTATTCAGAACTAGTATATGCTTGTTGTGGCTGTACTTGAACTTGTGGTTTTAATTCAACTTCAGTAATTGGTTGTGTAGCAATAGTGATTGGCTGTATGGCATCAGTCACTGGCTGTATAAAATCAGTCATTGGTTGAATAGCATCAGTCACTGGCTGTATGGCATTAGTGATTAGCTGTATAACATGAGCTTCCCGAACTTCATTTTTTGATGGCTCTTCGTTCTCATCTAATGTCAAACCAACAAGATGTGGTTTCAAGTTTTCACATTTCTGCCCTTCTGAAACTTTTGATCCTAGTTCTTTTTTTGGGTCAATAGATATTTCATTGTCACTGTCATCTAAATCAATGTAATCAATAAGGTTTTCTTGTGTATCAAGAATAATATTCATGTTTTCGGTATTTTTATTTTCTTTAAAAACAATCCATGAACCATCAGCTAAAATTTCAATTTCCATACTGTCGTTTTCAAGTTTAGGACTAGTGACGATTTCCAAAAAATAATTTTCTATTCGTATGTCTTCGTATAAACAAGGTTTATTACATGTTGGACACATCCATGTTGGTTTTTTTTCATTCATTAAAATAAATGTACCAGCATCAAAGCACTGTATATGATCACAATGAATAGATTTTGCAGGTATCTTCATCCTTATTTTACCCAGTGGACAAACCAAGGAAAAACGATAAGATGTAGGGACAATATCTGAATCAGAAACTGCCAATTTTTTAATAATATTATTTTTAGTCTCTTCAGAACTCCTCGCTTCTTTTTTTTGAAGTTTTTTTATCAAATCATCTGGACTTAACTTTCTTACAATAAACAATGCTAAAGCGTATCTTTTTCCATCAGGAAACCAATTTACAGTTATCGAGTTTTCAAGCATAGGATTAAGTTTTAAAAAATGCGAGATATTGATAGGCTTGGCAATTCGCCTAGCTTCAACTCCTATTCTATTAGATATTTTAGGTGGCAATGGACATGTTTTATTTCCAATTCGAATACAAAGTTCGAGTGGAAAATAATCAGTTAATTCACCACTATACCCAAATTTTATCTGACAAATTCGAATCTGATATTGAAAAAGATACTCTTTTTTTCCATATGAAATGTCTCTATTCATTGCAATAAGAGTTACTTGATCATTTGTCATAGTATGGGTGAACATACATTCTCTGGAACCTGAAATAAAATAGATATTATGAATACAATTAAGTTAAGAAGAGTAATCATGATGAAATATATACCTTTAATTAAGTTTCCTAATGTACATTTTTCTGTTCCTTCTAGAATAGTTGGGTCAATAATGTTGTCAATAACCTCAAAAAATGGCAGTTTTTTGAACTTGTAATTGGTTACAGTTTGAAGAGATGAGGTTATAACATTATTATTTATACTTGTTGATGCATTCACAGCAAATCTCATTGTATTTTGTTGATCTAAAGGTAATTGGGATGGCACTATAGCATGAGGTTCAGCTGGCTGAAAACTACCTAAAGCATACCGAATGTTATTGTTCGCCATAGTGTTTTCAGGAATGATATTTTGACCAGTAGGGTTTCCATGTACGCCTCTTGGTTTTCTTATTATATACTGTGACAATCCAGGACGGGTCATATGTATTGGTTGTCGAGGAAGATAATGTGGCAGTGGATACATTCTTTGTTGTTGAGGATGATATCGTGGTCGTGGATACATTCTTTGTAGTGGTGTGTGCATGTGACGCATATACATCATCTGTTCTTGTCGAGGATGTATAAAATTGCGCGCACAAAATTCCTTGTACTTATATATTTCTTCTATTTTTGATAGATATGCTACAAAATCAAAGTCATTAGGTCTAGACCTTAACAATTCAAGTGCTCGATTTCTTAATTCAATTCTTCGGCCTTCTTTATTTTGACCAAAAGCTTCTAATAGTCTTTGTAAGTCACTCATCCGGAAACTATCCAGCATAGTTCTATGAACTTTTTCAGAAATACTATCCATTGTTCCTAAAAAAATAAAATAAAAATATTTTAATCAATAATGTTAATAATTAATTTAATATTTTTATGATCAAATAGTAAAATACTAAATGTATTGAGATCGAATCCTTTTTAAAATATAATATAGATTAATATTAAATTTAAAATGTGATTATCAGATAACTTAACCTGATGAAAAAAAATTACTACAATAAAACAAATATTCGAAAGTCTGTCCAGGGAGGGTAATCAATTTAATTTAATTTATTTTTGTTAATGGATAGGATCATTAAATCAAACATAAATATTTACTACCTACAATAAGATTTTTCTCGTAATAATTATATTTCTGATTGTTTTTAACATACAGTAGAGTGTTGATTATCCGTTCGTCAACAATCTACACTTCGAAATGGTAGAAAAAGAAATTATATTCTTATTTTATATTATTAAATTTTAAATTCAATTCATTGTATTATGTTCTGTTAACAATACACACACACACATTAATTTTATCATATTATATTTATAAATTATACATACAGTACATTAGTTATATTTTTAATTAATTATATAAAATATTTAAATTTATGTTCGCTATGTATTTTTAATTATTGTTTGATTATTCGCACCCATCGTAGTCCTACTCAGTCAGGATAATCGATACTCCACTATAATAAGATTTCTGATTATTACCACAATTTTTTTTTTTTTATATATATAATATTAAAAAGGTACTCTTGTGTTATAGGAATTGATTATATACATGGTGATGATTTCTCTTTACCAACTTCATAATGCATAAATGTTATAATTTTTAACCCGCTTCATGTTATTAGAGTATTACGATTTCAATATATTATACGTTTTCGCCGCCGCACCGTGAGCAAAAATAAAAGCGCGCGTTATACGAGTATATTCTCGAAATCATTGAATATGTTGTCAGATATATAAGATATAAAATCATAATAACACCTATCGTCAATTAATAACTAGCGATTTTCTCATCAACCACTATCAACTATCATACTATTATAGTGTTATTACTAAAAATGTTTATCAAATCTTTGTAATATTGTATAAGATAAATTCTCAAACTACACATTTTTACTATTATAATACTATATTAACATTATTAAAATTAAATATTTTAATTTTATAAATAACTAATGAAAAATAGAAAATTGTAAAGCACTAGTCTTTTTTAACTTACACTTTATTAAATAAGAAATTTATAAGAATACACTACTTGAGTAGAAAAAACATGAAATGAGTTTTGGAATTATTTAACTTAATTAAGGTGATAAAGTATAATGTTTAAAAAATAAAAATTAAACATGTTTTTACCAAATACTATAATGTATAGGTAATGTAATTTCAAAATATACTAATGATCATCAATCCAAATATAATTTACTTTATATAAAGGTTATAAAACTAAAGCTTTATGATTGATGGAAAAACAATAAATATAGAAAAATTAAATTAAAATAATACATATTATGTATATATTTCTAAATAAAAAATGAATATAAAAAATAAATAAAATTATAAGACTTGATATGAAGGAAAAAAAAATTAAAAACTACCAACTCAATATTGAAATAATCAATACTAGGTTCTGTAACAAAATATCAGTTATATTAAATAATATATATTTATTTATTTTATCTAATAGATTTTTTAATGAAAATAAAGAAATATATTACAAAATATTTTATTTGCTACTAATGACGTTCGTGGTTTGCAAATTTTCTAACTAATAGACAATAAATAATTGAATAAAATATATTTTTTTACTTCTCTTTTCGAGTTTTCTTTAAAGTACCCATCTCAGGATCATAGTTCTTCATAAATACTTTAATTATTCATAAATTATATCTCTCTTCAATTTTAAATCATTCAAAAATATTATTCTCATCGATTAGATACTTAAATTAACATTTTTAAAACTATTAAATCATTGAATTATGGTTTAGAATTACAATCACACTCTTATGTACTGTAATTTTAAGAATTATATTAAAATATTTAAAATAGTTATACAATTATTACCTGTAATAATATTAATAGTTTTTCTTTCTTTAGATTTGACTGTTTATCAATAGGTACGAAATAAATCTTAACGCGTCTAATTAATGCCAATTTGTTTAACAACTGATACAACTTTGGTTTTGATACGATAACGATACATGCACTAATACTAATTCAAAACCCTCACTGGCACCACCGCCGCCACCTAGGTCAACACTTCTGCGCTGTCGTCGATACTCTCGACATGGTTTTATAATTATATAATTAAAAAACAAATATTATTTATTGGTATAATTTTAAATTTTATTTATAAATAATACATCATGTATTATTTATTGTATATTTGTAAAGATGATAAGACTAATCATTTTATATAATTTTATATTAGAAAGGCGAGTATTGATTTTACATTGATTTTTTTATGTTTGTTATCTTCTTTTGGCTTTTGAAGCATTAAAAATGTTAAATTATTAAACTTCAATATATTTTCTGGTTGAAAAATAAATATAATAAATACACGGGAATCGAAACTAAAAATTTCTTAATACCTATTTTTCTTGATAATTAGAAGAAAAAATGATTGGGAATAACGGAATTCTTACATAAAGCTAATAAAAAAAAAATAAAAAAAAATTGATTTTTTATTTTATTTAACCACCCCTAATAACTGTGGAGTGTGGACTACGACGTCGTGCGTCACTCCGAAAATCGTTCAACGCACAGCTGTTATAGTTCTCATTCTTATATGAGTACTAAGGGTCATTACATCGAGCTAATAATATAAAAACGAGGTAAAATAACACATTACCACATTTATATCCTTATTATATTTATACACATGAAAAATACCCATTAATAACGTTATGTTATTAATATCATATCTCTATTATTCTATAAGAGGCATTCGAAGTAACAACAATATAAATAAATAATATAATACCGGAATAATGTATTAAATCACCACCCGTTTTTTTATAAAGATGGTAATGTTGCGTGTTTGAAAAAGGTAAATTTACAAATTTCAACAAGTGGTAAATAGGGTAAAAATATATATAAATATTTTTTAGAAGTTGTGGTGAAATTGGTTTTTAGACACTCAAACACGATTGTCTTAAAAGCATGACTTGTCATTTTCAAATTATACCAAATATCTAAAATTTTGAGTTTTGAATTTGACAATTATTTTTATAGTTGTTAAGTTTACAATTTATTCGTTCATTCATCTATTGTTCTTTTATTTTAATTTTATGCTTTATTACCTACTTATTTTATACAATTGCCTTTTTTCAAATTTTAAAAGTTCACAAATTTTTTTTATTTGTTATTTGTTACTATACTGTAGAATAACACTACTACAAACACCAATTGACAAAATAAATGAATTGCAACAAAATAATTGGCATGATTTAAATTGATATAGATATTAAATATTAATAATTTTTAAAATAGATATTTCCATGATGTTACAAAATTTTATTGTCATTTATGTATTAGACAGATTCTATCTTATTCGAGGAATGGAGTATTAGAAAATATATTACTTAACTTAACCAATAATTTTTCTTATAAAAACTGATTTCCATGTTATTCAAGTTCCATATTACTCAAATTTTTCTATATGTATTAAAACTAAATGTCAAAATTCTGAAATATACATTTTTATTCTTCCAAGTTACACGCAAATACACAATATGTCGGAGTAGAACGTGCCATCAATATAATCATCAATATTGTTGTGAGAAGCAAAACTGAGTTGACAAAACAAATATAGAAAATGGTAACCCGTGACAACAGATCACACGCCCATTTGTTACCTGGCAACAGCGTGATGTCTGAAATCAATAAATTGCTTCTTAAATGTACCTAGTAACCAGGGAAAACAATTTTTAGATTCACACTTGCTCTGACAATTAAATTTTTAATAAGTTAATATAAATATAAAATCCAAATACCACTGACTCACTGATCGCTGTAACTCGAAAAATACACAACGTATGAACTTGAAATTTCGAATAGAGATTCTTCTCATAATTTCACCGAGCAATAAAAAAGGATTTTAAAAAATGTTGCGTTAAGTGAACTAATTAATAATTTCAATTATTCGTTAATTAAAACGTAATGTGCGGCACGGCACCGGCCGGCTTGAGTTTCAGCTACCTGTAACTCTATACCCATACCGGCCGTGCGATGTATAGATAAAAATTGTTCCGAAAAATGTATAAACAAAAATACACACGGGCAAAGCCGGGTAAATGAGTTATAACTTATAACTAAAGACCGGATTTTGCATAAAATGCATGTTGTTATTTTCAACATCATATACATGCAGTCAATGAGTGTCCACAAATCATTACTTGATTGATTAAATATCAAAATTTTATACTGCATATTTTTGCATATTTTAACAAAAACCGTACAAATATACAAATAAAAACATAGATCATAGGTACGTTTATATAATATTATAATATCAAATATTTTACGTCTCAAAGAATATTCAGACGCTAAAAATAGTTCCATAGGTTGGTTGTACGGGTTTTATAGTGGAGACATGGCTTTACCTCTTTTATCTAATCTTGTTGATAAAATGCCCTAAACAACATAATTTGTACAACAACATATTATTATATTACAACCACTTCTACATTTATCCAAGACAATTATTACGCTGTAGACAAGACGTGAGTGTTGAGTGTACCTACGTGTTTTTTCGACAATAATTATTTTGTAATACACCAATTCATTTTTAAATAGTTAAAATGCCCAAAATTCCAAATTCAAAACTTGCATCAATTAGAAAATGGATTGAACCGTACAATATTTCTGGTGAGGTTTTCAAAATATTAAATAATACAACAGTTTTTTGTCAAAATTGTCAAAAATCAGTAACAGCAGAAAAAAAAATTTCAAATTGATCAACATGCAAAATCATTTTTGCATGAAAAATGTTTAAACAAATCTTCTTCTAAACAAACCTTTGTTCATGAAGCATC